CTCGTGTAGTTGTGCTAGTGAGACTAACTTCAACAGTGATATCCTGCTGAGATACGATGCCGCTCTTGAACATGGATACAACAACGTATACTGACACCTAGACTAGTGCTTAGTCTCTGGATATATATAATTGTGATAATAACAAACAAGCCCATTTAAATTGAAAAGGAGCCCCAGGGCGACCAGAGATTCAGATCTAGACTTGCTTTATTTAGGGCCTTAGCACTGCAGATAGGGCTTGGCAGTAGGGAAAATAATGTGGTTCAGGGACTGTGAGACAGACTAACTGACACCTAGCCGGCCAGTCCTTGTTTTATCCCTTACCGCTTATCACCAGGCAGGGTAACAACAATTACCACATGTTAACGTGGTCCGGTGCATAGAGCTCAGGTCACAACTCAGGTGAAGTCAAGCAACGTCGGGCGTGGAGAGTCCTTGCATGGGTGACCGTGTTTCACAGCTTGACTTTTGAGAGTTTCTAGGACTTCAGACCTGTCCCACAACGGAGCACATGTGATACATGTAGTCTCACCTTAGGCAAGTGTGTTTGTTCAAAATTACCTCTGTTCGGCCAGCAGAAAATGGGTACCCGGTTGGATAAAGACATGCAAATGTAACCCTCTAGCGCCTAGCCATTCTCTTCCCACAGAGGTTACTCCTGTCATATCTTCCTACATAACCTCTGTTCTAATACGGCCATATTTCCCGGTCCTCGTAAAATCCCCCTAGCGGTAAAAGATCGCAACACGAATTATCTCCCTTCTTTCTATCCAATCAGAACACGTGTTACATCGACTTAGATTCAATTTGACTAACACAAGCAAATGCGGGGCCACAAATATCCCCCATCTGCCGGGGAATTGTGTTGATGTTACACACAAGACGTTTAATGGCTAGCTTGTCCGTTGTCAACGAGGGCGATGGAGACGCCATTGATACGCCATTACATGACTGAGTTCTGTCTAGAAGAAACGTTTGCGCATCGCGCTCGGGAAGAGGTTCTAGTTTTCCCGAAGCATACGGAAATTACCGAGGCCTTGCGAATGGTCACTTTTGAAACAACGTCGCTGATTGCACAACTAAATCGGCTTGTCTCCAATCACGAGCCTTGAACGCTGACACCAAGAAAGGGTCGTATTAGAACAGAGGTTATGTAGGAAGATATGACAGGAGTAACCTCTGTGGGAAGAGAATGGCGCCTAGCAGGCAGCGTGGGTTATAATCATCAGATTGTTTGGCCGCTTCGAGCATGCGTTCTGCATAGAGCAATGCGGATGATAAATGGGGCACCAGAAGTGGGCTTCACACGTTGTACCCATGTGGGGAATCGAACCAGATACCAGGTCTGGATGAACAAACGTGTTATCCACAGGGCTATCCCACCGCGTCCCCTTCCTGTCGGTCTATGTGTCTACTGAAAGAGTAAGGCTTTAAACCGTTTTAGAAATATTCCAGCAATGTACCAATATACAAATGTTGGGAATCAAACCCGGGTCATCGGCGTGGCGAGCGAACACTATAACCACTAGACCCTTTGCGTCTATGTTTGACTGAAGACAGCTCGGTGGTTGGTGCAGTTGGTCCTGTCACTCTGGATCTAGATTCCAGACCCAGCCGTGATTCTGTTTTATGATTATAAGCACATGAAAGGCCAATATTCCCAGTAATGAGTGAGTGAGTATGGGTTTACGCCGCTTTTAGCAATATTCCAGCGATATCGAGACGGGTGACACCAGAAATGGTCTTCACACATTGTACCCATGTGGGGAATCGAACCCGGATCTTCGGCGTGACGAGCGAACGCATTAACCACAAAGCTACCCCACCGCCCTCCCATTAATGTGACCTGTTGACAAGAATAATGTAACTCAGACATTATGTCAATAAATTTATTCTTTGTAAATGTACACACAAAAACATTAAGATAAATAGAAAGAAACCAAATAAAATATAATCTTATTACGACGTGACGTATTCTGGCAAGGGAGATAACAGTACGGCGAATCAAGGAGCCTCCGACCACGATCCACCCGTTCCACCCGAAACGAAAATATGGAAGAAATGGGTAGTAAGTTAGCGGCTGCTACAGGCGATTAAACCATTAATAGAATGCCATTATCTTACCACTGCCCCCCTCCCATAAAGCGATCTTATTTCACATGCCTTAACCAGTGTGCGAAATAGTGTCCACGGGCTAGCGGGCCAGTGGCTATTTCGCACACTGGCCTTAATATGAACGTCGGGGAGTCGCTGTGCTTTGCTTGCATTGTAAGAAGACACCGTGAAGGTGACACCCACAACGTATACCTTGCAGCATTGAGACCGGTTGATTGCTCGATAACATCTGACAACATTGTACATAACCATGAGGACAAGAATTCAATATTTATGAGGATTATTAAAAGCGTAATGAAAGATATGTATTACTACTCAAAATATCACCATAGTTGTTTAAAGAAGAAACATCAAGTGATAACCAAAGACTGGCAGATCTAATACAACACGTGACCTAGAACCATATGAATGGAATTCCCTGCACAGGACACTGGTGTTATAGCTACAAATTAGGTGTTAGGTGTTAAAAAATAGACAAATACATGAATGTCCAAAATAGGACGATATCTTGAGATAAAGCAGCGACTGTGATAAGCGTTCGATGACTACCTATGTGTTTTTAATTTTACCCTTATATAGTATGAGTGATAAATACGATTCGCGATAAATATATTAATAATTTGCCTGTATATATGTCACGCTTTTTCTCACATTAATATAATGCGTCTATCTGTCACGTTCTTTCTCATGTTATTTTAATGCGTCTATCTGACACGCTCTTTCTAATGTTAATTAAATGCGTCTGTCATGCTCTTTCTAATGTTAATTAAATGCGTCTGTCATGCTCTTTCTAATGTTAATTAATTGCGTCTATCTGACATGCTCTTTCTAATGTTAATTAAATGCGTCTGTCACGCTCTTTCTCGTGTTAATTAAATGCGTGCATAGTGCATTTGGCTCAAAAGCGGACCGATAAATTGCAATCTAACTCGAAAACTAATAACATATAATCCTCAATGAAAAGCTGACCATAATCAAAACATCAGACCAACTCTGTGAGTTTTTTGCAGAATTTATGCCTTAAAAATACAAAAGTTGTTTAACAAACTATCATTAAAATATTGACACAGTTCACTATTTGTTACGAGGGAGGAGTTCAAAGAGAGGAACAGTTGGTCTGATGTTTGGATTATTATCAGCGTTTCATTGAGTATTATATTCATTAGTTTTCTAGTTAGACTGCACTTCATCGGTCCGCTTTTGAGCCAAACGGACTATAGTAGCTAACCGGGACTAAAGTGGCTTTCCCGTTGTTTTAACCGTATTTCAGTCATGTCACAGTGTGTCGGCTTATCTTCAAGGAAAGCTTGAAGTGACGCAGGTCTCAGACTGACTGACTGACTGAGTTTGGTTTTACGCCGCTTTTAGCAATATTCCAGCAACATCACGGCGGGGGACACCGGAAATGGGCTTCACACATTGTGCCCATGTGGGGAATCGAACCCGGGTCTTCGGCGTGACGAGCGAACGCTTTAACCACTAGGCTACCCACCCCAAAGACTTACTATCAACGGATTATACAAAATACTATGCTAATCTACTCTTTTCTCAATACATTCATATCTTCAGGTTGGCGCGGTCTTTCCTGTATGGGCTGTACATTTTCAACAAGCATTCCACAAGGCCAGTTTTAGAATACGTTATTCAAATGTACATTCAGTTCACTACAACATATATATGTCTTTTTATACATGGACTACGACGGTGTTACGTTCTAAAAAACCACATAAAAGACACGTCGTGAACGGTCCCTTCAACCAAAATAATGAGTAATGACGCTTACATGATGTTGAGATACGACACAAAACGTTGACAGATTAATTAATCAGTATGTAACGCAAGTTGATGTATGTCCGTCTATTACGTTATGCTTTGCATCTTCAGTGGGTGAGTGAGTTGGGTTTTACGCCGCTTTTAGCAATATTCCATCAATATCACAGCGGGGGACACCAGAAAGGGGCTTCACGCATTGTACCAATGTGGGAAATCGAACCCGGGCCTTCGTTATGACGAGCCATTAGGCTTCCCCACCACCCCTCGCGTCCTCAGGCAGTAAAGGGTCAATTAACTCCTGGACCCAAAGACAGTCAACTGAACTTCATCATCAGTCAAAATAAGATGAATTTAAGTCAACTGAACTTCATCATCATCATCATCATCATCATCATCATCATCATCATCATCATCATCATCATTATTCCTTAATTAAACTTTTTCCAACAGTTTCAACTATGTGATAAATGTTTCTATCACAACAGTCAACATTTACTTTGGAATGTAATATTTGACTGATTTAAGTGATTTTCAACTATGCTTTCATTGGGTGTAACATACAATAAAAAATGAAGACATCCCCCAACGAATAGCCGCAAAACATTCTGATGCAGCGTTAAGAAATGTTCACTCACTCATTATGATCAAGATTATTGTTATTATCATTATTGTTGCTGTTATTATTTCATTATTGTAATTATTAGTTATGAATATTATTGTTCCCATCTTGCAATTAATGATTACCTGACTGCTTCGTGACGATGTCACACTTTGACATATATCCTTGCCTCCAGCTTCTGGACTATTTGTTACGGGCATGTCTCTGTACAGATATCCCATATGGCAAGCATAGCCTAGTCTTATATACTACTGCCTAGATATAATATTCCGTGCATGGCCATCCCAGCATCTGGGACATGACTGGCACAACACAGGTTCTCCTGTCTTTGCGAGGATTCTTCAAATTTATTGATTTACTGTACAGTGAACCATTTCGAGTCGGGTGTCTTCTAAAAATATAATTTTTTATCTTTAATCCTCGCAAAGACACGAATGTCTGTGGCGCAACATACACTCCAGATTTAAATCAAGGGTCATTACACATTTAGCCTCTACTGAGCAAGTGACTGGCACGGCGTTGTCTGATTCTGATTCTGATTCTGATTCTGATTCTGATTCTGACTCAGAATTTGACCCCCAGAGCATTCAGAATCATCCTTGAACCCCAGCTGGTCAGCCAGCTTCTCCTGCAGCTGGCCCATCGAGAACATCTCCAGCTTCCCAGCCGGGACCTGTGATGGATAATACTGCTGTATCTCGCCCGGAAGTTCCTCGTTCGCGTCTCGTGCGTACGTGTTCTCGTCGTTCGGCGGGAGTTCGTCCGAGATCTTGCTGCCTCCGTCACATGTGCCGACAAGCCAGAACGTCTTCATGGTTCCTTTACCCTGCAATAATACATGTAATGCAGTCGAGCACCGTTGTATTTCATTGTGTTGCCATCTAGGGAATTTGAGGGTGTAGTTAAACGTTCAATATCATTTCGGGCATATAACTATGTGCATGTGTATGCATGTGTGTGTCATGCGCGTGCATTACGTGTGTTGTGCGAGTGCTTGACTTGTGTGTATGCTTTGTGTGTTGTGTGTGTGTGTGTGTGAGAGAGTGTGTGTGTGCGTGCGCGCGCGCGGTATGTATGTTTTGTGTTTACTGCGAGTGTTGTGTATGCGTGTTGTTGTGCTTGATGTGTGTTGTTGTTTTTGGTGTGAACGGTGTGCTTGTTTATGAGTGCTTGTGACTTAGGTGTTTTGTGTTATGCATTAATGTGTGTGGTGTGTAGTGTGTGTGAGTGTTTGTGTGTGGTATATGTGCTTGTGTGTGGTATATGTGTCTGTGTATTCTGCATGTGTGTATTGAGTGCGTGTTTTGTGTGTTATATGTGTTGCGGTGATGTGCTTTGTGTGCATTCGTGTTGTGTGTAGTATATGTGTTTGTGTGTGGCATATGTGTTTGTGTGTGGTATATGTGCTTGTGTGTGGTATATGTGCTTGTGTGTGGTATATGTGCTTGTGTGTGGTATAAGTGTCTGTGTGTTGTATATGTGTCTGTGTGTATATGTGTCTGTGTGTTGTATATGTGTCTGTATGTGGTATATGTGTCTGTGTGTGGTATATGTGTCTGTGTGCGGTATATGTGTCTGTGTGTTGTATATGTGTCTGTGTGTGGTATATGTGCATGTGTGTGGTATATGTGTTTGTGTGTGGTATATGTGCTTGTGTGTTGTATATGTATTTGTGTGTGGTATATGTGTTTGTGTGTGGTATATGTGTTTGTGTGTGGTATATATGTGTGTATCATATGTGTTTCGTTGTGTATATATGTGTGTGGTGTGTATGAGTGTTTGTGTGTGGTATATGTGCTTGTCTGGGGTATATGTGTTTGTGTGGGGTATATGTGTTTGTGTGGGGTAAATGTGTCTGTGTGTGGTATATATGTGTGTGTTTCATATGTGTTTCGTTTGCATGTGTGCATTGAGTGCGTGTTTTGTATTTTGAGTGTGTTATATGTGTCTTGTGTGATGTGCTTTGTGTGCATTCGTGTGTTGGATATGTATGCGTGTGACGTACGTGTTTCGTTGTGTATTAATGTGTTTGTGTGTGGTATATGTGCTTGTGTGGGTATATGTGCTTGTGTGTGGTATATGTGCTTGTGTGTGGTATATGTGTTTGTGTGTGGTATATGTGTCTGTGTGTGGTATATATGTGTGTATCATATGTGTTTCGTTTGCATGTGTGCATTGAGTGCGTGTTTTGTATTTTGAGTATGTTATATGTGTTGTGTGTGATGTGCTTTGTGTGCATTCGTGTTGTGTGTTGGATATGTATGCGTGTGACGTACGTGTTTCGTTGTGTATTAATGTGTGTGGTGTGTATGAGTGTTTGTGTGTGGTATATGTGCTAGTGTGTGGTATATGCGTGTGTATCATATGTGTTTCGTTTGCATGTGTGTATTGAGTGCGTGTTTGGTGTTTTGTGTGTGTGTTATATGTGTTGTGTGTGATGTACTTTGCGTGCATTTGTGTTGTGTGTTTCCTGTTCGTTGTGTATTAATGTGTGCGTTGTGTGTATGTGTTTGTAATCACTTATAAAACCACTGTGATCTGTTTGCAACATTCAGGTGTATGTCTGGTGTCCCCCGCCGTGAAGTTGCTGGAATATTGCTGAAAGCGGCGTAAAACCAAACTCAGTCAGTCAGTCAGTTCAGGTGTAACTTTGAAACAGAACAGTGGCGCACAGCTGCCCTTTAATGAATGGCAAGGCTTCTGTAAAAAACACACGTCAGCCTATGTTACCTAATGGCAAGACATTTGAATGCCCAGCGTATCGATTTCAGTCGTTATTGATCATCCATACGATCTTGTATTTCATTACAAATCAAAAATCCCCGTGAGAGATCGGGTTCAAAATTGGTTTTCATCTACCCATGATTGTTCCCCAAGAATATCTCACAAGCGGTCTATATAAACCTATACTTGTCGTATGGGCAACTGACGGATCGTTTGTTGAAACTGTGATGTTTCACAACTGTTCAGAAGGATGCTCATGACGTCAATCACTAGCCTGTCTGGCCCAGACACGACCCCGACCCCCGATTTACCCCCACCCCACCATCTTATAGCAGGAACATTGCTGAGTGTAGAAATTTAACAAGCAGACAGAACTAATTCAACTCCAAACTTGAAGATCTTACCTTGACTTGTATGTTTCCGCGGTGTCGCATAACAAACGTTCCGTGTTTCTTCAAGGAACTGTGCGTGCTGGAGCTGATGTGAATCTTGTTGGCTGAAAAGTTACGTTTTCTATCATAAGTGAGTGGATGTGAGTTTAGTTTTACGCCGCTTTTAGCAATATTCCAGCAATATCAAAGCGGGGAACACCAGAAATTGGCTTCACATATTGTACCCATGTGGAGAATCGAACCCGTGTCTTCGGTGAACGAGCGAACGCTTTAGCCACACAGGCTACCCCACCTCCCATATTATTCAACTGTGTGTGCATGGGTGAGTGAGTGAGTGAGTTTAGTTTTACGCCTCACTCAGCAATATTCCAGCTATATGGCGGCGGTCTGTAAATAATCAAGTCTGGACCAGACAATCCAGTGATCATCAGCATGAGCATCGATCTGCGCAATGGGGAACCGATGACATGTGTCAACCAGTCAGAGCCTGACCACCCGATCCCGTTAGTCGCCTCTTACGACAAGCATGGGTTACTGAAGGCACATTCTAACACGGACCTTCACGGGTCGTGTGTGCATGGATTGGTCCTAGTGTTGTTTATGATGAACATTGACATTGGGGTCGTCGTAGAATGTACGCATACTTACGCAGTCCGTAACTTTTCATTCGCGAGGCCGTGTTAACCGTGTCCCCGAACAAGCAATAGCGGGGCATGATTGTTCCGACAATACCAGCCATACAAGGACCTGAAAAAGGCAAAATGGTGTGTGAGTGAGTGAACTGGTATTAATGCTGCTTTTGGTGAATATTTTATTGACAAGATGGTGCGTGAGCATCATTTGGAAGGAGGTGGTGGCCATTGTACGGACAGACGGCGACATTTACACTTTTTGGTTTCATCTTGAGAGCCGTCTTGCGTGAGTAAGTGAGTATATATTTACTCAGCGTTTAGCAATATTATTTCAATATCACCTGGAAACACATGAAATGGGTTTCACACATAGTAAAATGGAAATAGGTGAAATGTCTCAAATAAAAATACACTTTTCATCCCAAACTACCACCATCAGCCGCAACCCATCACCATTATCATCGCCCACGCCCTTGCCCACGCCAACGACCACGACCACGACCACGACCACGACCACGCTATCCTCAAGTCGTCGTTACTCCTCACCTGTGATGATGACCCCAGAAAGTCGTCCTTACCTCTTACCTGTGTAGCTGACCCAGAAAGTCATCCTTAATAGATACCAGTGTTGATGCCCCAGACACTCGTTCTTACCCCTCACATCTGTTGCTGCCCCATCAAATCGTCCTTAATCCTATACCTGCATTGCTGCCCAAGAAAGTCGTCCTTAATCCTCACCCATGTTGATTCCCCTAAAACTCCTTTTTACTCTTCACCTATCCTGATGCCCTACTCACTATTCACCTGTATTGATCTCCCAAGAAGTCGTCATAACTCTTCACAAGAAGTCGTCCTTATGCCTCACTTGCATTAAATCCCCTTAAAGTCCGTCTTACTCTTCACCTATTTTGATGACCTTAGAGGTCGTCCCTACTCCTCACCAGTGTTGATGCCAATACGCAGTTGAATGAGTCTTTCGCCTGGCGTGGAGAAGCGCCTCTGGGCCATCATGTGCAGCAAATCCAGGGCCAGTGCAGCGACTTCAGCAGAATGACGGTTACCGATACGGTTCGGGAGACCTGGAGATCATATCAGAGACATCATCATATTGACGATCATTGGGTCAGGGGAGCAAGGTCAATCAGCTTTTATACGATATTCCTCAGGACATCAATGATTTAATTCTTGAATTTTACCAGTGTGGACAATCTAACTAGGTTCTTCGACTCGACGAGACAACACCAGGCCCCTACAATCTATCTCTCAACCAGTACTAGTGTTGTATCTAATTACAACAAACCCAAAACGTTGTCCAGTTACCTGATGCGACCATGTAAGAATCGTTGATAGTTTCCACTTTGTACACCTCGTGGTTGTCGAGACGCTCATCAATGGCCGTGTAGAGATGATTCAAGAGGCTAACGATTTCAAGAGGGGAACACTCGGTTGATATTCGCGTGAAGCCGAAAATATCCGAGAACATTATAGTCACTGATTTATAGTACTCAGCATCAACATCCTCTGCCATTTTCAGCTTGTCAGCAACCGGCCTTGGAACCATCTGATATAGCAAGCTGTCCGTCTTTTTCTTCTCTCTGGACAACTCCTTTGTCTTGTGGACAAGAGTAATGGCGTACTTCTGGATGTCGCTAGTCAGTGCTTCAACTGAATAGATGACGAGTGGACACATCAAGATGACAACTACCAGGAAGGTTGCGCTGATGATCAAGTTCTTTTCTTCTCCTTTAATAATCTCTTCCAGCTGCCCGTTAATCAGCATGGCCAGATCCATCTGGATTACCAACAGCGTATCGAGGTACAGCGTCATGTTGTCAAACCACCACTGTCCCTTCGTAATGGAAGGTGCAATCTCCAGGGTGTGCTGGATCTCGAATCGGAAGCGTTCAATGACAGCAGTGAGATTGGTGCCGCTACTGGTGACTCCCTCCTGAAAGATAGGGTCGATGATCTTAGAGTAGAGGACAGCAGATCTGTAGTTGGCTTTGAATACGTGAACTTTATTATTGTAGTTTTCGTAGTCGCTCTTCGTGGGGAAACCTCCGCTGACGTAGTACACAGCGCCCAAAGCCCTCTCTATGCCAATCTGTTCCATTCCTGTGACTATCTTCTGATACGACACGAGGATCTTCCAAATGGACGCCATTTTGGATTCTCTAATGGCGTCGTACATCCATTCTACGAAACGTTCTATGAGGAAACTGTAGAACTCCATTTCGACGTATATGTCGAAGTTGCTTGGATCGAGACTCTTTCGGTGTTCTTTGAGAAAGTTGTGAAAGGCTTGCTTGGAGTGAAACATGGAATTGACATCGTTCCTGACAGGCCAGTCAGAGAGCTGGTCCAGAGCCTGGTCTGTTAACAGGTATTCGTTCATCAGAAAAGTCTTGGTTTCTGGTCCCAGGATGCTCAGATAGAGAACAGACATGTCTCGCTCTCTTTGGATCCTGTCTAAAAACTTCCCGATCTCCACACTGAACTTTACAGCATATTGAGTCTGAAACACAAAGAATGTTGTAGGTTTGTTGTTCAGAATGTTTTGGAAATTATTTTTTCATTTATGTAATTCCATTATGCAACAATTAGAAAAAATAACTCAGATTAACGTTTCACTTGAATAAATGGAAAATGTAATGATTTCGATATTGTCCCAAAACAAAGTAGAAAAATCAAAAGTTGATTTCTTGTAAACCAAGGTTACACACTGACAGTCGATTCCGTTTTCACAGTTCTTCTTCGCCCAAACACAACCAATAATAGGTATTCAGGTATGAATTAAAATTGATAAGAGAACCATCAACAGTTATTCAAATGAATCAACCAAAGTGACGTCACGGGTTAAAGTGTGACGTCATACTGGCGAGTTGGCGGGTATAACTACAATATCACCCACCTGTTCTATGTCGGCCTTTCCTTGGATGCTATCTGACAAGCTGTACACGGTGAATGCCCACAGTCCAAGGATTGGTAGGAGAGTCAGCGCTAGAATCTTCAACAGCTGAAGTCGTTTACCTGAATCTGTCAGGGGCTCACCTCGACATATCCCAACTATAAACCAGAACAATATGTTAATTTCACGTCTACAAGACTAGCAGGATAAGATCATTCCCGCGCCACTTCACATCTATATATATGATAAATTACTTCAACTCAAAATAATTCCCAGTCCTGAATATCATCAGACACAAATTCCGTTAGGTGTGAAGGGGAAAATGTGAAAATTATATGATTTATCTATATATATATATATGTATACATATACATATATATATTCATGAAACTATCATAAATATTTAAACATGAAGAGTAAACATGTCCTCCCTCTAACGGTAGCACTCGCCATTTCCAAAATTTGCCTAAAATTTAAATCATTTTTGTCTGACGCCGCACAATTCTTTAATGAATCTGCCCGCATTTGTATAATAGGAAACGGAGGAATTTGTATACCTCTAGTTCCTTTCATCCTTTCTGGAAAGGACATAATTGTATTTGTAAGTTTCTGATATGGGTTTAATGCAGCTTTGATCATTTTATTTAACAGCATGTCTGCTTGAATGGGAAGAAAAGACCAAAATGGCGCAGGTCGTATGCCACGTTGTGAAACCAAGAATAACGGTATGGTGCTCTTAGGCCCAGGAGCATTATCGAATCGGATTATTTTATTATTTTGCAGAGTCGGACATACAATGTAGAGTAGACTAATAGTACATTCTTTTAAGAGGCATTTGATAATGCCTGTACTTAATAATTCAAACATGATGTCCAAACATTTCTGCATAACAGGACAGTGCAGATTCTGAGAATGTACATTGATGTACACTAGTACTACGAAACCACAACGAGACGACAAAGCAATTCCGGAAACGTTCCGACATACAGAACAGTCCCGCAGTGATTACCCGGTAATTCTGCATCCGGAATGAGTTCATTTCGCAAATTTTCAGTGGTAATTCCGCAGTCATTTCCGGAATTATTCTGTTATGATGATATTTAAGAGATGTTTTTGTAGGCTATTTTTCCCTTTTATATTCATTTCTTGTTTTGTTTTGTTCTCTGTTTTTATGATATGATCTGGCACTCACGCAATATCTCAGTCTTCCCAGTCTGAGGGTGCATCACATCGATGATCTCCTGGCTGTTGAGACTCTCCGCCGTCGACATGGATCTGGGTGATGTTGTGCTCATCTTGTCATCAAGGAAAGTATTGTCTTGTAAAAAATCTGCAAATAAATATTGGCAAACTGTAAACGTATGGGAACATGACCGAGCTGTGGGGTGAGCAGGGACGGATACTGCCTTTTGAGAAAGATGTGTTCGTTTGTGTGCGTGTGCGTGCGTACGTACGCGAGAGTGCGTTTAACGCCATCATTCGTAATGAGGAAATGATGGGGAGCGCCCGAAATGATGTCTCACGTGTGTGTGAGGAAATGTGTTCAGGGTTATCATGATAATGTAAGGCCCACTGTCAGAACCATGAATTTGTAATACCATTACACGAAAATTAAACCAATCAAATTTATCATCACTAACAAACCTAAACATATTACTCAGGTTTCATTGTAATTCACGGATTGAGAAGTTCCTGAAATTACGCACATATTTCATTTTAAATCACGAGCTTTAATTGGTTTTGTTTCTGATTAAACATGAAACTGTATAATTTTAACATTTTCTTTTCACAACTTGAATTATTCGAAACATGTCACTATTCTCTATAACTAACTAATACAATTTGATTCATCCCAGTGAGTCGGTCGCTGTAGCAACAATAAACAAGTTTCAGTTTCCTGGTTCGTATGTTCAATATTCCAGCTACATGGCGGCGGTCTGTAAATAATCGAGTCGGAACCAGACAATCCAGTGATCAACACTTCATTAACATCGATCTTCGTTACTGATACGATGACGTGTGCCAACCACGTCAGCGAATCTGACCACCTGATCCCGTTAGTCGCGTCATACAACAAGCATGGATCGCTGAAGACAATTCTGCAATTGGGTCAATAACGGTTATTGTTTTAACAAACCGAAAACATACTTAGGGCGAATCTAAAACGATCATGGGGTTCTGGCAAGACTGATTGATGAAACTCTGCAAAACAAACTGCGACATTATAATTTTTAAAAATGGGTCACCCACGACTACGTACGGAAAACAACTGAAGAGAGCCATTATTCAGCTCCTACACGCCAGTCCACACCATAACGCTCCAAAGTGTAATGGCGGTGATGTAGCCTAGTTGTTAAAGCGTTAGCTCGTCACGCCGAAGACCCGGGTTCGATTCCCCACATGGATACAATGCGTGATGCCCATTTCTGATATTGCTGGGTTAATGCTGAAGGCGGCGTAAAACTAGACTCACTCACACACCAAATTATATATTCTTAAATATAAATTGCAAAATACACACCTCTCTACTTTGGACATATGAAGGGACCTCCGTGGTTTGTGGGATTAAAAGTTGGTATTTGTTTGCTTACCCTTTCGTTGAACACCCGGTGTCTTCAGTGATTTTTCAATTGTTCATTTATACATTTTTATATTGTTACCCGGCTCAACGCTCGGATTGCTAAGGGGGTAGCATCGTCACGGATTCAGATTGCTGAGGGACGATCACCGCCATTTTGTTTCAATCAACACCTTCTCGTTAAGACTAACAGTTACGTTGGTTTCCATAACAACAATATAAATAGCGACACGTGATGAAAACATTTACGTCTATCGAAACAGTTTACCTTTTTCTGGAATGAGAAAACAATATTGGAATTTGCTTGTTGCAGCCACGTATGTGCATGCGCTTCGCGTTTTACGTGCAATAATCGTGCATGTAACGTAAAACCTAATTTCGCCTCACCTTAGGTATAACTGTTTCTAAAGACAGCGTTCGGAAAGCAAACGTTCCGGTAGGAAACGACCCCGGATCAATGGCATTACACATTATGAGTTTTAACAAAATTACACATTAAATTAAATTGTACATAGCTTATATCTGCACATATCAAATTCATTTTTTGGAAGAAAACTTATTTGCGTCAGAAAAAGATTCCGTGGTACCTCCATATGTACTTGCAACCAGTAATTCAAGAAAAGGGAAAATGTCAAAAGATTTCCGTAAAGGTAATTCACAGGCAGTACGATACAAGAGAATCATCTGCGATATGAATAAGTTGTATTACCCAGAAAGCAAGTTATATGAAATGGGAAAACAAGGGTTTATAAAAGGCATTTATGTAAGAATTATTCAACTGGAATATGTTTAAAAAATACAAAATGGTAAACGATTATGTACTACCTTCTTGATACGAGTCGCTGGGTGTAGTCAAGTGTCTTCAGCATGTGTGCGCGCCATAAGGTGGCTGGCAAACTGGCGAAGAATTATTCGGCTGTCCAGAGCAACGCTGTTGTATTTGTGGCGGGTTGAGGTACATCTCTGTGAGACAGGCGTGTTTTTCACAACTTTATTATTGTTGCCAGGCAACACGATTTATGTGAAATCACAAGTTATATATATATTTACTTGCACATGTCACCGTGAAAAATACGTTTGAGTTTACAGGGATGGGGGTAGATTTTGCCTTGGTATCTGTCAATGAGTGAGTGAGTAATGGTTTCACGCCGCTTTTAGCAATATTCCAGTAAATTCACGACGGGGGACACCAGAAGTGGGCTTCACATATTGTACTCCATGTGAGGAATCGAACCCGGTTCTTTGGCGTGACAAGCGGACGCTTTAAGCATTAGGCATAGGTTAAGGGCATGCAGCGTTTGGGCGTTTGGGCATGCCGCAAACGTCGCTGAATCATTACTGTAACTTCCTTGGAGATGAAATATATAGTTTCTTTGAGCGTTTGGTTCCAAGAAACTATAAAGCACCAGCTCACAACCGAGCTGAGTGACAATGGTAATTCATACCCCAAAAAACACGTTTCATGAGTGTTGATTTCTTCGGAAATGCGGGACGGTGAGGTAGCCATGTGGTTAAAGCGTTCGCCCGTCAGGCCGAAGACTCAGGTTCGATTCCCCACATGGGTACAATGTGTGAAGCCCATTTCTGATTTTCCCAGCCGTGATATTGCTGGAATATTCCTAAAAGCGGCGTAAACCATACTCACTCACTAGACGCCGGTTTTACAGTTCCATCCCTATGGGAACCCATGACACAGCTTAACGGGCAATATACTGACTTTGAGGTGACAATCCCCTGTTTATACCATCTTTACCGAGGGCGAGGTAGAATAAGTCGGTTTTTAATAATCTTTTCGCTTAATCCGGTGAAACGTTCAAAATGTCATACCATTTTATTCTTGAACAAGAAACACGTTAACTACAGCATTATAACAGACGTCACTAACGACAAGTTTAAAATACCGTTGTTATGGAAACCAAAATAACAGTTTGTCTTATCCGAAAGGTGTCGATTCAAACAAAATGGCAACTGCTGACAAACGCATGGTGCGGGGACGCTGAAGAAAGTTTCAAAGAGAAGAAGAATATTGCAAGGTAAATGTAACCTTTACTCTTTTTGTTGATTACAGCAACATTTAAATCAAAGGTTGAGATTGAACGAGATACGCATTTTTCATTACACGCTGAAGTGTCAGTTTAAGGTGGGGTGAGGTGAAATTGGATTTTACGTCGTGCTTGAGAATATTTCGCTCATATGACGACGTGCATGCGTGTGTATGGGTATGTGCGGTTGCTTGTACAGCCCAGACTGAAGCTGGTTTTATAGTGCTAGTCCACTGAGATACCATGCCGCAGTGGAGCATGAATACCCCACTCAGACACATTATACTGACTCCGAGCCGACCAGTCCTTGTTGTACCCATGCCGAGCACCAGGCAGGGACCAACAAGTACCATATTTTAACGTCTTTTGGTATGACGCGGTCGGGGGTCGAACCCGCAACCTCCCGCTCTCTGGGCGGACGCTCTAACCACTACACCACGGAGGCGGTGTCAGTTTAACAAAAGGCGAAGATGATATTTGAAAGAAGCACACATGTTAAACTAACTATCCGTGGCGGTTGATGATTAAACGATGTGGTTAATTGTTTACCCGTCGTTATATTTTGCTTTGTGATGTGGTAGATGGTATAACTGATATGAACGTTGCTATGACGAGTCAATTTCATTAATTCTAATTGAGCATAACATTCATGTCGATCCAGGGTCCCGTTGTACAAAGTAATGTTAACGCTAAGGTGATCGTAACTCCCATTCCTTAACATGGATTTATGACAGGCTTAGCGCTAAGGCTGCTTTGTACAACGGCACCTTCACCATGCAGTTGTTTGATTCATCCGTGGCGATTATTGAATTGTAAAGAAAACTCTTTTAACATAGACTCTGCTTTCAAAGAGCCGCACGGTTGAACAAATAAGACTGAACGATAGTATTAGTAGTTGTAGTAGTGGTAGCATCAGCAGTAACCGTAGCAGTAGACGTAGTAGTAGGAATAAAAGTAGCACTAGCCGTAGAAGTAGTCGTGGTAGACGGACTAGAAGTTGATTGGTTGTTGTTGGTTTGTTGTTTTACGCCGCACTCAGCAATATTCCAGCTATATGGTGGCGGTCTGTAAATAATCGAGTCCAGACAATCCAGTGATCAACATCATGAGCATCGATCTACACAATTGGGATACGATGACGTGTGTCAACCAAGTCAGCGAGCCTGACCACCCGATCCCGTTAGTCGCCCCTTACGACAAGCATGGGTTACTGAAGATCAATTCTAACCCGGATCTTCACGGGTCGGGAATGAGCGTGTGAGTTAAAACTTTACGTCACAATAGCAGTATTTCATTAAAAACGTCACGGGAAATTTGATAGAAATGCTGGATATAATGACTGACTGACTGACTGAGTTGGTTTTTACGCCGCTTTTAGCAATATTCCAGCAATATCACTGCGGGGGACACCAGAAATGGGCTTCACTCATTGTACCCATGTGGGGATTCGAACCCGGGTCTTCGGCGTGACGAGCCAACGCTTTAACCACTAGACTACCCCACCGCCCCTGGATATAATGATGGACGATGAAGACGTCTGTCATTGATGGACAGTAAAATAACAAATCTATCCCAGATTAATTATACACGCAACAATAAAACATAAAAACGGGCTATAGATCGCCAGCAACTGAAGGTAGATCCCCATACT